GAGGACTGAGCAATGGCCACGCACTTTATTAGGGTGACTGATAATTCAGCAATGAGCCTAACCAAAACTAGACGTACTCTGGGCTTCCCCCAATTTCAGCAGTCCACTGATTATGGGCCTGACCTCAATGAGTATTTTTTTTTTCCTTTTTAAATGTCTTTTAAAGTTGAGCTAATTTTCCTTTCCACTAATACTTAAATTTTATATCACAAACAAAAATTAAAACTGACGGTCAGATTTAGGCCATGTAGAAAACGGTCAGGATCTATACTTCCCTTTTTTAAGAAAAAAGTAATAATAAAGCTCCAAAAATCAAATACCCATATAAAAAATAGAAGGACACCATAAAAGAAATAATGTTTAAATTCAACTAAGAAATCAGTTATATACGTGCATCAAAAAAAAAAAAAAAAAAGAAATCAGATAAATACAATACACTGTCTTTATAAATGAATCTTAATGAACATACACCACTAAAATTCAAGTTTCAGGCAGCAAAAGATTCTCTTGGAAGAACAGAGACCTCTTCCTCATTTTAAAAGACCCGGAGCTGTGTAAGGAATGCGGCACAAAAGTCTAAAAACACAAATTGTGGCCCTTGAACCCTTCGTAGATCTAGTAGGTACTTATCCACCCGAGTTTTATAAAGTTGTTAGCAACAATGCAACCAAAACATGTTAGCATTCAATTGGTAATTTCACAACTTCTGCCATAAATTTATCTACTAGAGAGAAGGTTTCTGAAAATAACTACCAAATAACAATCCAGTCATCCATTACTGCCATTTAAATGACTTGCAAGACCAATAATCATAAAGAGTTTTCTCAGATAAGCATTACTTGCCGCTCAAACTTGACGACATTTGGTGATTGAATAATCCCATCATTCTCAATAATGCTTGATTCAGCACCAAAATAATGACTACTGTGCACAGCATTGTTAACCATGCCTTCAAGATGACCAGGGATGCCAGGAATGCACCTGCACTTCATGTTGTAGTGCCTATCTTCTTCCAGCACACATTCAATTCCTGCAGAGCTTTGAGAACTTCTGTCATAATTTCACGAGGATGTGCTCGAGACTGCAGAACAATGGATAAAATAATGATCAGTGATAATCAAAGGATAGACACTAAACATATGCTCCACACTAAAGGGAGCCAGAAATATCTCATAAACTTCTCTAAATGGTTACAATGTCTTTAAGATTAACCTGCAGTATGAACCTCCTAATCTTTTCCTAGAAATGACTGAGAACAAGTTGATACAAGTGGTTACAATGTCATATATCGTGTGAATATTTTTTATTAGATAAATAATAAAATTAATATTAAATTTTGTTTTTATTATATATAATAATAATATTTAAAAATTAAAATATTTTTATATTAAAATATTAAAATATTTAATAATTATTATATAATAAATTTAATAAAATTAAAACTTATATTATACTTTATCTACTTAATTATTGTAATTAAATATATTAATTTTTTTTTTTTGAACATTTTGTCATGGGATCGGCTCAAACTGTTGCCCTAGGAGAAGGGACATGAACCTTACAAGAGTGACCAAAGTCACTTGGCCCGAAGGGTCAAGTTCAAATATATTGATATTTTTAATATTAAAACTTTAGAATTTTTTATAAAAATATAATAAACACACCAAAATTTAAATTTAATTTACGCGTTTTGTGTTGGGAAAAGGATTGGACCGGTGGCCATGCACTCTATTAGGTTGACTCATTATCAGGGGTGAGTGTTCGGTATGAATGCACCTTTTTTTTTTTATTTAGAAGTATTTTATCTGTCTAAATAAATATCACACTTAAATTATTTTTTAAAAAAAAAGTAAAAAATAGATATAAAAATAATAAATTTATAAATATTAAATTAAAAATAAATATAAAAATATAAAATTATTTATTTAACTTGTTTAATTAACTTATTTAATTGATTCATTATATATAATAACGAGAATAACGTGATTCTCAAGACCATTTGAAAAAATATAAATGTTAACTTTCTTTAATAAAATAATAATAAGGAAAGTTAGGTTTATCATTTATAAACCCAACTTTCGGCTGAGGGGAAATCTTTAATGACGTAAAAGTTAATTTAAAGTTGATTTATAAACCTAACTTTTGGTTGTGAGGGGATCTTTAATAAAGTAAAAGTTAATTTAAAGGAAGTAATTGGGCCTCATGCTATGACTGGTGGAACCTCAAAACAGTTGGCCAAGGTAAAGGATGGATACATATTGAGCAGCACACTGGCTTGGTATCCAGAGGACTCATGAAGGAAATGTGGATAGTAATCTGGTTTGCAACTA